GAGGGTCGTACGCGGTCGCTGAGCGGGTAAGGTCATATATGGCAAATAAATTTTTTCCGATAGTCGGTTTTCCCATGTCGTGCTATAGGTCGCCTCGTTGGCGGCATGGCAAGGGTACTATTTCTGTTAGCTGATCAGAGGTGCCCTCCCATTCCCTGCTCGAATGCTAAATTTTTTAGAAAACTTGTTAGTATGATGATGAGTAGGCTATGGGAGATGATCGTAAAGAAAAGGGTAGAGAGGTAGTACTATCAACACTGCCCCCTCGACGGCAGATTCTCTAGAATGGTTGGTCACTTCCGTTGTGGAAGAGCTGTCGAAGCGCAGGCGAAAACTGGGGAAGGAATCAGATTCAGCAAAAATTCACCTTGAACAATGACTTCCGTGTCCTGTCTTCGAGAAATTCAGATTTGACTGGGAAAAAGAATCAAGTTCGTAGAATTAGGCTTGAATTAGAAATGCGGATTTGTAAACAATGTCTTAATGACATCGTTTTGTTTCTTGGTGAGCGCTGTTCATTGAATTGTTATGAGAAAGAATTTTGCGGAATAACAGCTGTTCGCTGGAAAGCTGTCAATTGCTTATGTTCTTACAATGAGCGTTCATTTCCTTTGCTCACAGCTGTACTAGCATTTACATTTGCAGGCATAGATGCGTCGCTATAGGTGAAATTGCGATGTCATCACGATTCACCACAAATTTTCTCCTCGGCTACGACCTCCCTTGACATCTTAGCAACCACTTCCGAAATTCTCCCAACCGCCCATCAATTTTCCGACATCTTTATCAGTTTTTCCTAGAGAAAAACCGTGCCGGAGGGAAAGGTTATATATGTAGTGTGTAGTTCGCTGCGGACGGTTGGGCGTGTCAGGCGGGATGAGTTTGGCGCGGTGCCAAACCCGTTCTCCACCAGTTGTTAAAGCGAGCAAATGATATGACTGTATCATATCGTTCGTATTACTCGTTTTCTACCACTTTTTGTCGCATGCGCGCTTCAACAAGAAGGCAGAGAACGGCTTTGACGGGGTGACACACTCATACTGCCTGACACGCCCAACCGTCCGCAGCGAACTAGAGTGTAGCAACCATGAAACGGAGAAAATCAACAGGGAAATGTTCTGATGCAGCTCGGAAAATTTTCTCTCATGAACAAATAAGGCCTTTCCTCCTCCGATAGGTTTTGCACAACTGTATTGTATCCTGGTTGGTTTTGCTCTGGTTTTAACTGTTCGGTTCGATGGTTTCGATGCCCACTCCGTGACTATGATGGGTTGTTTTTTTGGATCGTTCGCGGAATGATTCACTCTTATGGCATCATGACATCACGAGAAAGAGAGCTGGAAAAGAACTGATTTTTGGATCTGCTCATAAACTTTTTTACTTCGAGGCAACGTAAGACAATGAGTCAGCGCGACATTTAATGGTTTCATGTATTGTGCCCACTTCCGCGTGGGGTATGGGTTATATTATGCGGGAGTACAATCCTTTTCCAGAATTTTGGCTTCATACATCTCGTTACTGATTGCTTAAATTTACTTGGTACTTAACTTTGACGTCCACTGTATGGCTAGTTGCTTTGATCGGACCGTATCTTCGAGTTTCTTGATTTTTACATTGACAGTTATATATAGTCATGACCTTTGCAATCGACAGCGCCTGAAGGGGCGTGAGTTAGGGCGCAGCCAGAACAACGTTCCTCGCCAATTGTTGCGGACTCAGGATGGCAAAGGCAATACTGGTGGAAAAGGTCGCTTTGGCAGCGCTCCAAATCACGCTCTGTCACGCCCTATCGTTTGCAGGGATCATGACTGTACTGAGATTCAATAAATATACGCCAATATTTCCAAAATGTGCTTTCCTACCATTTTCTGTTGTTCTTCACAAATCTCAATATTTATTGATTGGTTTTTCAGTATGGGAAGAAATGACTCGTCTGTGGTACTCCCAATGACGGCGTTAGACACGTCGCCGTCGAAGATGTCCGACTTCTACATTGGTCTTGCGTTGGCTGTCTCTTCGTCGTTGTTCATCGGCAGTTCATTTATCATCAAAAAGAAAGCATTGATCAAGGTGAGGGCAATTCTACTTCTCTTGATACTAATTTCTAAATTTTGTTTTGAATTTTATTTTCTTCTGGTACGATGCGAGTCAGTGAGAGTTTTCCTGGTTGACAGTTGATTAGCTCTTTTTCCTAAGGTTGTCTAGTGAGCTAGGTAAGGTAAGTGGCTAAATGGTTAATACAAGTGGAATTGATTGATCGTTCTGAAGAAACTTTTGCAAAAACAAAATTTTCAATTCTATTAACTTGATATTTTCTTTTGTTTTTTTTGCTATATTATTATTGACACATTAAGTATTCTTATTGATGTTATTTCAGCTGGCAAGCGGTGATGTGTCACAACGAGCAAGTGAGGGCGGCTACGGGTATCTTCGCGAGTGGATGTGGTGGATGGGAGTGATTACAAGTTCGTTACTGGCTTCAATTATTATTTTTCCAGCTTTAGATCCTCTGATTTTTCAGACATACGAATTAAAAAAATTATATGACGGATGATTCCTGATACTTCCCCTCTATTATTTACCATTCACCCCCTGCTTTTTTCGAAATTGCGATGAAACTTATACCGGACTTGGTTTTTTGTTGGGCGGAGGAGGGGTGCGGGAGCAGGGGGAGAG